GTTCCTGAAAAAATAAGTGTTACTTAACAACATCAGCATGAATGTATCATAGAAAATCCCCTGCTTAATCTATTGACCAGGAGAACTAGCGAAAAACTGACAGCACAGGGGAAGCAAAGAATAACCTGCCACACCTTACTGGGAAGCCTACAGTGCCTTGTGCCCAGGAGGTGGAAACACAAACACAGTCACCTGAGACTCAATGCTATAAGCTGGTGGGAACAGAAAGACCAGCCCTGGGAGGACATACTGTAAACATGTAGGGAACTATCTCCTCCCCTCCAGTTTCTCAAAGAGTACACACGGGTTTGGGTAGTGTCCCAAATAAGGCAACAGAGGCAGCGCTCTGGTATCACCCAGGAGATTTAGGAGACTCCTGTGATAGCTGGAAATAGCAGGAGTGGGGGAATAAAATATGAGTAGCTTCCACAAACTGAGAAGAGGAGAAACAGAGAAGAGTTAAAGAGAAGTCAACGGGTATTTAAACACAGGAAGTGAGGCAGAGCAGAGACAGAAAATATAACTGAAGAAGTTAGAATTAGAAAGCTAGCAAGACAAATGGAAAGAAAAGCTAGAAAATCCTCCTGGAAAGATGCAAACAACCATCCCAGAAGCGAAGCAATATTCATTGGGCCTAGAAGACTCAATAGTTCCAAAATTGCTTCTTGGCCCATCCTCTGTTTGAAGGAATTAATGGCAAAATTCCTTTCCTTCCCCAAATGTGAACAATCAACTCCATTAATCCTTCAGAACAATGTCTGGAGGAGAATCCCTTAGTAACTCACATGTTTGACCTAAATTAGCCCGATAGTAAGAAAAGCAATCAGGCGACAGGAGACAGGACAAGAGGACAACTTGTAGTAAAGGTCTCTAATTAAATGTTGTACCAAAGCAGAGCAACATGTCTCTGATTTAAGAGTTAAGAAGGGATCCCCAGGACATTCTACCTTAGCTTATGTAACAAGATCTAAGCAGAACAAGGGATGTGTTCACCAAAAATATCTTCCTTGGGGCCATACTCAAGTTGAAACACGAAAAGGCACACCTCAGACCATTTGCAGCTACATTATTTTACGTTTCCTTATGATCCTTTCTCAACTCAACCTAGGCTTGACCATTATCTTCACAGCTGATAAAAACTATACATTTGGATTCTTAGAATAAGATAGAAGATTACACACCAAACTGTATATCAGGCCTAGGGACCAATAATGATGTTCTTCTGTCAAACGCAGTTTAATCAAAAAGGCCACTGAAATCTGTGATTGTGTACATACAATGCCACAAAAGCGTAAATGAGCCCACAACACAATGTACAATTCAGCCAAAACCTCTCGGGAATCACTGTTTGCCCAAAGACTGCACGATTTAACCTAAAGGAGAATTATGTTATCATCTTCACAGCCACATTCAGTAGGGAGCAATAAGTATGCATAACTTCGAAAAATACTGCAAGATACCCTTCAGACTGCACTGCTATACCCTTTGTTTACAAATCAGGCTCCTGAAAATTACTGTACCCGGTCTTAGCTTTCTTGCCATGAACGGCTGCAGTTGCACAATCCGCAGCGCTGTTCTGCGGTGGGCAAAGGATGTGGATAGGCATATCAGTACCTGGGCCTAAGCCAATGTCTGAATGGCCTGAGATAAGTGTGTTGTACGAAAGTGACGACACAAACCAGTCACTCCTGTACCCTGAATGCTTGGTAAATGATCTACTCGAGTGATGTCATTGCCGGGCTTCTTGATAGTCTGAGAAAAGCCATTTTTGGCAACTGCTTGAAACACACGTTTTGGTAAAGGCTTTTAATTGAGAGCCCCAGAACGCTCAACAAGTTCCCAGGAAAGGCAGCAGGGGAGCAGAGCCCCTCTCCGAACGGAGGGCCCCCCGAGCAGGGCGCTCCCCAGCACCCCTGCCTGCAGGGCACACCGCAGGGCACGGCCCAGGGACACCAACTCTCCCCTGAGCCCACCCCCC